AATAAAAGTGATGAGTGCAATTCCTTTTATGGGAAGCTCCTTAATAACTTTATTACTTATCAAATCATGCCCCGATGCTTTCCTGGGATTTAGACGACGGATTAATTCTTTAACTTCCAGAGATGAGAAAGGCTCAATAGGAGGAGATATCTGGAAGGATGAGTGCAAGTATTCCGTTATTTCGGCGGCAATAGTGGAGGAATACGGTTTGAAGACATTAGTTAGGTGACTTGCAAACAAGTTTTTGTATAGGGCTACGCACTCATCCACCTTGCAGACAGTGAATTAGAGGTATTATTTGCGGACGACGAGTGAGTTTCCTGGATGCCTTCCATAGTGAGTAATTGGAGTCAGCTGTGAGAAACAGGTTAGCTAAATATTTTTGAAAACAGTTGTTTTTATAATTTTTAAGGATTTTAGTTAATTTTCTCGTTGAATTATTTAGCTTACGCTTGTCGTCAGGTGTTCTATGACTTTACCATACTTTTACATGTCTGCGTTTTTCTACGATTTTTTTTTTTTATTATGTAATGATGGTATTCATGTTTATTAACAAAATTCTTAGTAGGAGTGGAAGAACGGATCGCGTTTATTATGCTGGTGTTTAAATATTCCGTGGCTGCTTCTATATCTTCATCTGTTTTTATGGATATTAAGGCTGATATTGAATGATTGAAGATTTCCTTAAAGAACTGCCAGTTTGTGAGTTGATTATGAATAAAGTCATTAGGTTGATCTTCAATAATTGTTGAGTTAATTGTTACTATAACGGGTGAATGATCTGAAGAGAGTTCCACAGAGGAGTTGATTTGGACATATCTTGGCGAGATGTTTTTAGTTATAAAAAAATCTGAGAAATCAGGTAGTTTGTTAGTGTCAGTGGGCCAGTAAGTGGGTTCGTTTATACTGAGGTAATGAGACTTAATTAAGTCTCTTGATATTTATGTATTTCAAAAGATTTTTGCCTCTTACTGTGATAATTCTGCTGCCCCATTACGTATGTTTAGCGTTATAGTCTATGGGAGAAACATGATGAAATGTTTCGATTTTTTTCTGCATCCTTACTTAAAGAGATTTCAGCGCTAATGTAATTTCTCTAAATGTAATATATACATTTTTCATACCCCGCACCACGTATTTGTTAATTCTTTACAAAAACTAAGATACTGAAAGTCGAAAAATGATTAGCTTGAAAGATATTTTAACTGTAGCCTTGTAAAACTTACCGTATGAAAAACAAGAAATACATAAACATAATAAAACTGTATTTACAAGATTAAAGTTACAATATCTTCTAAACCAATCATGTTTCGGTCCAAGTACTTTAATACTTTTTTGTAGAGAATAAAACTTGTGAAGAATACTTAGTCGCGTTGATGCAGGGAAGAACAAAATATCTAAGAACTCTAACATTGCTGCAAGAGAGTGGGAGTTTTCGCCTGGACAACCGTTTGCATCGAAAAATGGCGATCTATATGCCGAAACTCTCAACTCGGGCATTGCTGATAACATCAAATTTTGCTGGAAAGCTCTCCGTCTTCCAGAATTTAAAGACTGCGAAGCAACTACACATTTCTTGCAGTGCGCTGATTCCATATTCGATTTCCTGAGGGACATGTTTAAAAAGCCCGTTAAAACGCGATAATGAAGATATTTGACGTTCTAGATTACTTAAAGAATTTTATCAAGCAACTTTAGCAAAAATATTTAGCAAGCATTAATGAAAAGAATAGGGCGCCTATATTTCTTTCCAGTCTGAAAATAGGCTTTGTTGACTTTTGATTTGTACGTAAAACTATCGAAATAAAAAATGAACCTCCTCACATATAAAATGAGCCAAGACTACTTAGAATTACCTTTGGCACGATAAGAGGTAGAAGTGGGTAATATACTACAACTACTCAGTTTGTTTGTTGCATATAAACGATTGTTGGCACGACATAAAATTTTTATCAATACGGGAAATGTAATGCCAATAGATAATATTAAAATGTTAAACGTCTCGTTAGCCAAATCAAGAAAAAAGCGTGCAAATATAAATCGGTACAACTTAACCATTTACAATATAATACACAAGTCATTAGTAGCTGAAAAATACAGACTTATTGACCATTCAAAAGAAAATTATAATCTTGATGAAATTAGTGAATTTTTAAATTTTGCATAGGCGCAATAGCCGAATAGTAGTGAATTTTCTAAACACGCTATTGGGTACATTTCTGGTTGGGTAACCTTATCCATTAAAACAGGGAAAAAGATTTATTTCCTTATGGCTTGTGATGAAGTGGAAGCAGATAACATTCTTATATATGTATCAACAAAATCCGATTGTTTATATCACAGCAATCACGCGTGATTATTTAATAATCTCCGTAAGACACGTAACGCGAATTCAAGAAAACTACCACATCGAGGCAAACTTTCCAGCAATTCTAGCCGCTCGCGCTTTTCAGCTGAGAGTAAAATAATAACGAATTATGTTGTTGTTTATTACCTAAACCTGTGACCAGTCGCTATGAGACGGCCGGATTTGAAAATACTGCCTCAAAGCCAAACCCAATACATTTTAACTGAGTTATAATAGACATCTCTCACAGTCTTACATATGCATGTTGCGCATGGGGCCTTAAGCTTCTCCGACTTTCATTTATAAACCAAATATCAGTGGCAATCAATACTGACGCATATGTTACCACAGACGCACAACTATGAGCAGAATTCATTGTAGTGGTACCGACAGCTTTACATTTTTTTTTTAATTTGTACCTTACAATTTGTCCAGCTGGACATTTGGTAAATTTTTCTAACTCTTTATTACTATATAATACGTGGATAGCTATCCCCAGCGGGATACCATCTTACAGTTTGTCTATTTGTTTTATGATCGTTTTGTAAATTTTTAGTTTATTTTCTACGCTGAGTTTAGATTTACATTACAGTACATCTGTCTTCTTTTTATCCGTACTTTGTCTATTATTAATTTAATATGATCCTTCCATGTAAGTTATGAATCTAAGTGGAGTCCTAGGTATTTAACTTGCTTTATTTGTAGTATGTGCGTGCCATTCAATTGGATATTTGGTAGTTTCTGTTTTCGTAATGTAAATATAATATGGTTGGATTTACTGGGGTTCGCTTTTATCTTTTTATCTTACAACCATTTTTCTATTTTTGTGATATACTCTTGTAACTGCTGTTTCTGGATTAGTTGCTTGACTAGTACATCGTCCGCGAATGTCAGTGTTTTCCTGTTGGTAGTTGTTGATATGTTGGCCGTGTATAGTATATATAATATTGGTCCGAAGACCCGCTTCCTTGCGGTGTCCCTGCCTTGATGTCTTTAACTTCAGAATATATGTCCTGTATTTTTACTACAAAAGTTCTGTTGAATTTTATGTATGTATAGGAAAAATTGTTCGAAATCATGCCGCTCATTATGTATTAAAACATCATCGAAATCAACTTGCTTAACTATTATATACTGATATGTACTGTAGATAAATTATATGATTTAAGCTAAATTATGAATAGAGCAAACTAAAATAATTATAATAAGCCGCACAACAATAACAATCAACTATACTGAAATATAAGTAACTTTGAAAAATATACGAAATGTAATGTTTCACTTTTTTCGTTCAATCGTTCAAAGCTAATGTTGCCACGAAAAGATACGTTGTGAAAAAACAAAAATCTACCTATAAAGGAGAAAAAGCATAAGACTTAAATAAGATACAACTTGTAAACTGCAATAAGGAATGCACAAGTTTTAGGAAACTTCGAGTGATCATGTTACAACGCCTCCAGAACAATAATAACGCTTTAGTTGTCCACAGACTTACGTCATTTAAAAAATAAAGCATCATGAATTTTTCAGTAAAAAAGAACTTTTCCCTGAGTTTCGTGTAGATGCTTTATCTGCTTGTCTGTTCGACATATGTGCCAAATTAGTGATTTAGTAAAGAATAGTTCTTCAGAATGTAATTCTGATTTAGAGGATGTGAATCAAGGAAATAGACAACTTTTCGAAAATCGCTAGCCACTGACATTTGTTTAGGGACAAATACACCGACCATTAAAGTGTTAATACCTCGTATCCACCGCAAACACTTATTTATAAAATACAAAGTTTGTAATATTATTAAAATTTTATTAAGATATATCAGATTTACGTAAAGTCCATTGCCTAAGTAAATTTTGCTATTATTATAAATGCTAAAAATAAAGAAAACGTAAAGAAAAACGTAAAAAAAAATTAAAGAAAAACTAAAGAAACCAATCCACTGCGCCAAAGAATCTCCTTGAAATACTAGACGTAATATTTGATATACTATAAATAATAATATATATTCAATACTAAAAATAACATCAAACTTTATAAACATATTACTTAAATTTAATAATTCACAATTTATTCTCAATTGATACAATTTGTACACAATATTATTACCACCTAATAATGAGCAAGTTTCATATACAAATACATTAAACGTAGAACATTTTAATAAGATTTTGGAAACTATATTAAAATATTAAATATACTTAAAAATGTATATATAACATAATAATGTGTTCGAAAAATCAATGATTAAAAATAAGTATTCTTTGTCTTTATGAGTTTTAGCTTAAAAAGCGATTGTATAAACAGTGTAATAGCATTTACAATGTACCGAGATTGCAAAACCATCAAGCATCAAATTTTATATGTTACAGCGTTTGAATGAACGAATTCATACAGCTCCCAATTTAGATCATAAAAGATTCAAATAATATAATATAGTGATTAAAAAAATATATAACACTTGTATACCTCATATATTCATAACAGTATCTTGAATTAAACATAATCTACTTCGCTACGATATCTTGAAGAATGTTTAATCTTTGTACAATGTCTAATAGATGGCGCGGCAAGTACTGTACGTTCACGTATTGTGCAATAAAACATTAATTCTCTATTCATCATACACCTTTCATTAATACATTGGTCTTTTTTTTTTAATCGAGGAGGGAGAAATGCTATTATGCATACCCAGACTGAACTATGTGGGACTCGGCCGATGGCGTTGCCATACCCACTAAGAATCCCTCCTCTCTCCGCTCTTCTTCTGTGCAAGCATCGACCTCGAAACCACCTTACAGCGATACTTTAGGGTTGGGCTTAACTACGCACCGCTCCCTCATACTTGAAACCCATTTCTTCTTCTTGTTTCTCTAGTTCTCCTCCTCTCTTCGAATTTCTCCTGCGTCATTCTTGCTAGCATAATTTTTCTGCACAAGGCCTCAAACCTTGCCAAGTCGTCTCCCTTGTTCACCATTAAATTCTCCGTTGTTAGTGGTGTACCGACGTAATTTTCTAGTTCCGTCCTCTCACGTATCCATCCTGGGCAGTGGAAAAGCGCATGTTCAGCGTCATCGCTCCTTCTGCAATCCAGCTGGACCCCAAGGTATCTTACTTCCTGTCTCGTCGTCAGAAGGTATCCCTCGACGTTCATCTCGATTACCGTGGGGATTCGTTGATTATGTCCCAATATGTGACATTTATTACATTATGTCCCAACATTTATGACATCTTACTATGTTGGGTAGAATCCTAGCCGTCGCTATTGTCAATCCTGTTTTAATTCTAATCCGCCTGTCTTTGAGTACGGTGCTCGCCGGCAGCACCACTTACGGCCTGCTGCGTTTCCCATGGCGTCATCCTTAAGGACTTTACCTGTATACATTGCTCCTGCTTAATGCCTAATCCCGTTGCTATATCCTGGATTAGTTCTTCCCTTGTAGCTATCGGGTCTATATTTTTCAATTCCGTTGGAGTCATCTGCGTCGCGACCGTTCTACTGTTCATCATCCGTTTCTGCGTTGGAGTCGATCCACTCCCTCAGTTTTTTAATCTCCTGCGCGCTCTCACAGCTTAATTTCTTAAGCGTAGAATCCCCCTTGCTCAATGCTGTAACTCTTCTTATCCTATCCATCCTATCCATATTAAGAGTTAATATTTCGAGACTCTTCATCAGCCTTCTCACGTCTCGAAGTCCGATTATTGGTCCTCTTCCCTTGTCAGCGGACGACCCTTCCCTCCGCCTCCCGATCTCTTCTGCGTCCAGGCTCTACCTTCCACGACGTCATTCTCTCCTCAGCCTGCCCTATCTTCTTACGAGAATCGGCTATTCTAACGCCTCTTCTCCCAGAGTGTGGGTAAACTCTTGTCTCCTCAAATGTCCTATCGACACCACCCCCCTCCAACGCTTTTAATTGGTCCCCGGTCGCACTTACCGAAAGAGAGGTGGCCCTGGGACTGACCATTCTCTCTTCGTTCCTCGTCCAGTCTACTAATACATTGGCCTAAATCCTATATAAAACACAAATAATTAAAACAGTAACTCTTCATGCACGTCATTATGAATTAATGAATATACATACTAGGATTTAGAGGCGGACGTAATCTATACATATCTGGCGGAATAAATCGTGGTGGAAATGGTCTTAATGGACCAATCATATGTCTAGTTCCTCCTAAAGGTGGTACCTGACCTCGAATTGGAACCAAGGGTCCAACCATTATTGGTCTCGGAGGAAAATCCTAATGACCAATGAAATTTAATATCGATAGAATTATATTCCGTGTACAATTTGAATACTTACTCCATAATAAACAGGAACAGGAATCTGCTCGATATAATGCGATGGAGGTATCCTATGTTCTCTAGACCTATCTCTTTCTCTTCTTTCTCGGGACCGTTCTCTTGATCTTTCTCGATAAGATCTTTCATCTTTAGATGACCTATTGTTTTAGTAATATTTGTAAAATGTAGTTTTCCAAAAACATATATTTCACATGCCTATTATATACCTATGATGAGAATCTCTGACCCATGCTCTTTGTTCTCGTTCCCTTGAACGTGAATGATCCCTATGACCTTTTCTTTCACGCAGATGCTCTTCCTCTGCAGTGTTTAATTGACTATGTCGTCTAACTGTTTCTTTATACTCTCTACTTCTACCTCTACTGTGATTTCTTCCTCTAAGTAAATTATACAAAAATGTAGAAAAACTGAATAATAAACGTATTAAATATGTTAAAGGTATTAAACAAAAATATATAAGATTATAAGAAATAATTTGTACCTATCACTTCTATAACTGTCCCTGTTATCATATTTTGAATCCTCATACCTAAAAAAGAATATTTAAATATCAAAAGCCTAATTTCTAAACATTTGGTTTTGTATTATAATTAATATTCGATATTTAGTATTTGAATATGGGGTGTTTACATCTTAATATAATTTTTATATTTTAATGTAGGATACGCAATAATGTGTGTATTAATATCCATATTTCATCAAATGATAAATTTATTTATATGTGCATCTTATAAAAAAGATAGCAAATTACCAAAAAAATAATAATAGTAAATATTGATGGATAATCGTACATTACATTAAATTATCATTATTATTTAAATGCATAATACTATTTTGCATTCATAGATGCAGTATCGTAGAAAAACCATTGTAAAAATCCCGATGAACTACAGATAGAAAGCGAAAGTGCTGACGGACCGAGAAGGATGAGAAATTCGGTGGGCTATATGCCCCTGACCCTTTAAGACAATGGGTAATTGAAAAAAATGTACGTGATAAACTTGGGTCATTAACACGTTGGGTTGTAAAACACGTGTACGTTGTAGGAGTATCGAAAACTGATATAAAAAGGACGTCTTGATCAGTGGTCAATAGTTGTAATTGGACTTACGACTGAGTTGCCACTAGTTGCAGTTACGAGTAAGCTACAACTAGCTGCGGGTTACTCGTTACTTATGAGTTATCGAGTCGTTAGGTGTAAGTTGTAAGTTGAATAGTTAAACAAATTTAGTTGCCTTAGTTGTATCGCATTACTACATTAAGCTCTAATTAAATAGTTACAGTTTTCTGTTTTAGTCACAGTAAATAAATTTATATAATAAATAAAGATCACTATAATTCTGATTTCTATATAGATATCAATAGGAAATATCTTTTTAAGGTATTTAAAGCATTAGCTTTTTACTTTATTATTCAAGTACATGCAATAAGTAGTTGTTTAGTTATTATAAATTATTAGTTGTTAAGTTTCATTATAAATTAGGGAAAAGCACGCAAAAGCAAGTGGAATAATTCTCAGACCAATATTAAACACAAATATAAAAAATAAACAAATTTGTGCAATATTATAAAAAATAACAAATAAAACAAATGATTGGTATACATATACATTGGTAAACATTAAACTTACTTTTAGGATTTCAATTGCTTACTTTCTAATAACTGTTATTAATTATTATATCCACAATACATTACCTGAACAAAAACCATTTAAAAATCGAATATGGTACACTAATGTTGGCACATGCCAAAAATACTAATAATAAATTACATTTATATTAGCATACTAACCAAAAAATTTACATTACAAATTAATATTTACTAGAAATAATTTTTAATAAATTAAAATTTTTGTGGTTATTGCACTTATAAAGATATAATTATTTTGCATTCATTAGCATGAAAATAATTATTTATAACTGATTATTTATAAGAAATTTTAATTACAGTATATGAGAATAATATCTGCAAAATGTAAGTATGAATTTAAATACCAGTGTTGTCTATAGTATATAGTGAATACTTGTTATGTACCTAGCTCTAATTCACTCTATTCTATGATAAAAAGTGTACCATTATATTTTTGCATTTTTCGTGAGGAAACAAAAAGAAGCGTATATGATCAAATTAGAAAGAAAACCATAAACATTGATAGTGACATAACCAAGCATACGCGTACAGATAGCTCCCTTGAAATAACCATGCCAAGATATATAAATAGGTATATTTTCATCTACTGAAGATGAAGGAAGAGGGGTTTTTAGCGAGTTAGCACTTTCCACTTCTCACACATAAAAAAAAGAAGCGTAAGCTGAAACAAATGAGAATGTAGTAACACAAAACACATACCTAAAATAGAAATCAAATAGCACAATTGTATTTAGAGTTAAGTTATGTTACGTTAAGATAATGAATATATATTACAGCAAAACATGCTCATTATGAAAGTAAATATTTTAATGATGTTTATAAATGTTATGTTATCACGCACTAATTTAAATTTGTTAATATTATAATAATATAATATATATGTCGGGTTTACAGTAGAATCAGGGTTAGGGGCGTGAAACGAATCTTCGTTTGGATCACACGTGTCGCTATGCAATAGAGAAGACTTCGACTAATGCAAATTATTTTAGAACTATCAGAACTAATAGAACTAATAACTAATAATAATAATAACTATTAGAACTAATATCAAATTATTTTAGATTATCATAGAACTGGACAAGTAACCGTGGTAATTAGACACTTGAGAAATCAATGACAATGATCCTAGGTTCAACAACGAATCCGCGGTCGACGGGATGATAGATGAACGTACTCACAAAATCTAAGTCGGACGCGTAATATTCACTGGTCGTAAGGGGTTACTCTTTTCGTTGATGAGATCGCGAGAGAGAATGACTTTCCCGTCCCAATGATGCCACAGAGGAAAACTATAATGGTGCGTGTCTAAGGACACGAGATCATCGGATTCGTCGAGAAAAGCCTTCGTTCAGAAAGTAAGGGAAATTGGCGTTGCTGCTAACGAATCTTCGTTCGGACTACACGATGTCATTATGCAATAGAGAATACATTGACTAGTGCAAATACGATTATTATAGAACCGGACATGTAACCGTGGTAGTTAGGTACTCGAGAAACTCATGACAATGATCCTAGCGATAGGATCCGCGTCGACGGGATGATAGATGAATGTGCTCACAAAATTCACTGGTCGTAAGAGGTTACTCTTTTTGTCGATGAGATCGCGAGAGAGAATAACTTACCCGCCCCGATGATGCCACAGAGGAAAACTATAATGGGATGTGTCTAAGGACACGAGATCATCGGATTCGTCGAGAAAAGCCTTCGTTCAGAAAGTAAGGGAAACTGCTAATTGGTCAATCTCCATATCGGTGGTTAGAAAAAGATGCTAGCCACCCTCGAGGGAAGTTGCTAGTGGGAGACGCCGCTCGTTGAAAAATAGGTCTCCCCTATCTTCCCGTAGCTGGGACAAAGACAGTTTGTCTGTTTGACTGAAGGACTTTAATTAGCTAAATCTTAAGATTTATAACGGGCCCTCGGGCTAGCTGAACATGTACTGCGGAGACGCATCGACATCTGGCAATCATCTTACTCGAAGAATAGG